TCCCTGGGAATTGCAACTTTACCCTTCAGGCTTGGCATATTTAATTATTTCTATATTTTATCTGAGCCATTAACTTCTTCCTTCCCTTTTACCAAAATCACTTAAATGGAGTACCACAGCTCTCACATGCTTTCTGGTGCTGTTAATCATGAGTGAAGTAACCACAGGTGGGCAGCAGAAGGACAGGTAGCCAAACCGTCTGGCTGAGTGAAGTGTACCCTTGAATTACTGGGTGGATTTATTACAACTTAGCTGTTACTTATTTTTGTTCCTGCTGTTGTTAACACATTGAGAGAAAAACTAAATGTGATTTTTCCGTAAAAATGCTGATACAAATGTCCAAAACTTTTCTCTGTTAAATAGTTTTTTACATTTCTATGCATATAGGTTACAACCTGCCATATTCATTCATCCAGTGATGATGAAATTGACTTTAAAGAAACGGGTTTCTCACAGGATTCTTCTTTGCAGCAAGTGAGTCATGCCTAAAGTTTTGCTTTTTGTTTTATTTTAAATGCTTAGTTTAGTTGCCATTTGTGAATCAGCGTTGGAGTGAGACATGCATTAGGTTGTGATTTGGGGTTAACCTGTTAGCTAGGCAAAGACATTTAAAAGAGGAAGCGTTGGGTACATGAGAGGAAGGTTTATGTTGATTGTAATTCCAGGGAATGTTTCTTCAGATCTGATAATAATGATGAGTCCGGTAAATTTTCAGGAGATTTGAATGAACTGAACAGTTCAGTAAGCGCCTCAGACATGCTCATTATGCAGACCTGCACAGTAGACAGTTCCTGCAGGTCTGTGGATAAGAATACGAAGACTTGTTCAACGTCAGTGAAAGTAACTTTCACAATATCCCTGAACCCCAGATGGCTTACATGTTTCCAGTATCTTCAAATTGTGTAGTGACATCTAAGTTAAGTTGTAATTGAAGTAATTCATGGCCACCCTGTCCTCCTGTTCCCAAATTCAGCGCTTTTATCAGCTGCTGGTAATCTTTGTTGGGGAGAGAGCAGGATAGAGAAATAAATGTGCTGATTTATCATCCATTGGTGGTTCTTGGGGAGGTGAGGAATGATTTCACTATCTCCACTGGGTATCAGGTTTGGGAGCTAAATAGAGAAGCCCCTTTGAAAGTTACCAGCTCTTCGTATGAAGAAGTTACCCTTAGTCAGGACCAGGTCTTGGCCTGTCAGTTGATTTGGTGTGGCAATGGAATTGACGTAGTCACCTTCCCACCTGGCACTGAATGTTGCTTAGCTTCTTTTTTCTCCATCTTTAAGCCCCTTTTACCAAGACCAGGATGAAGCTTCTGATACTTATGCTGGCCTTGCCTTTCGGTGTCCAAGTAGACTGACACACTCTGGTGTAGGTTGAGCTAAGCAGTTTCTTGGTTTGGTACTAAGGCAATTTAACATTCATGTATTCAGGCTAGGCCTGAGGTAGCATTTTGGTGGCTGGCAGGCTTCTCTTGATTCTTGACACTGCCCTTTGGAAGCCAGCCTCCCGAGGAGAGAGGCGGGGAGCTGTCAAGCAGCAGGGCCTCATTGCCACCTCTCACCTTGGCTTGCTGTCCGGCAGCAGTGGCCACCCCGTAGGCCCCGCTGGCTCACTGTGAGCCCTCATGCCTTTGAGCAATCCTTGCCCGACCCTGGAGCACCTGGGCAGTATTGAATTAGTCCCCTCGTCCTGGTCTGAACCCCAGTGCTACACATTGCTCCACCCCTACAAAGAAAATTGATGGTGTACAGTGTACATTTTCAAGATGATTTTGATCTGGCGAATAGCTTTAAGAAAAAGAATGCCCTTAAACATCTATTTGTAAATAAGCTAATAAACTCGGAACTTCCGGGCAGCTGATTTAATCGGGTACTGGTGACATTTTGGTACCAGGAAAGTGGATTCCCTTACATCTCTTGAAATCTGGTTACAGGGTCATAGCTCTTCTGGGGAGAATTTTCTAACGTTTTTTTGCTTTGCCTGCTGACGTGCATGTAAAGCACGCCCAGTCACCAAACTGCCCGACACCCGGCTGCTGCGCTGTGGGTTAGCCACTTCATGGAACCCTCTAAAAGGAGGGAGAATAGTGACTCTTTTCTGATTGACAGCCTTCCAGTAAACTTTTCTTTGCATGTTTAAACTATACACCAGTCATGGATCATTTTGAAAATAAACATACTCCAAAGCATTTTTTTCTGAATTTAAGAATACAAATCTAGGTTAATGTAAGAATTTCATGCTGGTCTCCTTTATAATCAAATCAGTTTATATATATCAATTTGAGGTTCTCATTCACATTTAAAGCTAGATCTGTTGCTAATGCTCGAGCACAGAGAGCTTAGGGCAGCTCACTTAACAGACTTGGGGGGGCCATACTTGGCTCGGGGCGTGCTCACAGCTTTGGTGCCCCTTCTGCTTTCCTCACCTCCGGAGCTTGACTCTTCCTCCTCCTAAGGCTGCCTCACAGGGTAAAGGGTGAGGAGGTCTTCCTCGTGTGGTGTCTGAAGAACTAGGGCTGGCTGCCAAGGATGGACACCACTCCCGCTGCCCCCGTCCTCAACAGGCTTGTTCATAGGCCATCAGGTCTGTGGACGGGGACTTTCTGTTGCCCGGGTGGGTCCACCCAAGAGATTTACTTAAGAAAGTGGTGGGCTCCCTTCTCAGTGACTTGAACAGTCCCTGGCTTTGGCCAGGATGACAGTTCTGAGACGTGTGGGGTTTTTTTTTTTTTCCCTTTTTTGCATAACTAAAAGTTTTTAATAATCGCACAACTGTATGGTGCTTTCCAGATTTGGATTTCTCAGAGTCCAAAACACTTTTCTAAAGCTTCAAATAGAATACAGTAGCAGTCCTCACTTATGTGGGTTTGGTAAGCCTCGATGGCTTTATTAGTCAAAATCAGACTTGAGACCTAAGTTCTTTGCTGGCTTTATCTTCTTAGAAGCTACAGTAGACTCAGAGCTAATGAGGACTACGGTTTGTTGGTTTTCTTTTCCTCTGCGTTACTACGTGGAGGCTGTGTCTGTCAGCAGCTATATATCTCCCTCCATAGATGAAGAGAGACAATGCAAATATGTGTGTGCATGTTTATGTGTATCTGTGTATGTATCTATATGTTTGTACATGTATGCATTCACACATGTATTTATAATACACTTAGTATTTGCATTCTGTTATGAAGCATTTAAAGTATTATGAAGCATTTAAAGGAACACTTTTGGGAATATTTCTTCCCTTTTACACCCAAAAGATTTACAGTATGATCTCTAGAAGTATAAAACATTTAAAGAAAAAGAAGAAAAAAAAAGAATCAAAACAGTTGAAAAGGACCTTTTCCCCTTGTGCAACCAAATTTCTAATCTGTCAATAAACTCAGAGCCTGGCTTATACTCCTTGCTCGGAAGAAGGACTTCGTGATTCTTTGCCACACCTTTGAAGCTACCAACCATGCGTCATACCTTATAAAAGAAAAAGCAATTCAGACAAGTTGGTTTCTTTCTACTTACATATTTTATATTCGTATGTCCAAAACTCAGCCCAGCCTCCCAGAACTTGTCCCTACCGTTCTGCTTTCACCCAAACTCCCACAGCTTTGGTGTGCCTTACCAAATGCACCCCTGGGGGGCTGGCTCCAAGTGCTCATGTGCTCATGTAGTATTGTCTCTTTGGGCAAGGAAGGGAGCAGCGGGAAAGTGTGAGAGTGAACAGAGGGGTGGTGGGTATCGAGGTAGAGAAAAGTGAGGTTTTAGGTTCTCGGTAAACTAGATGCAGCATTTTTTAGACCTAAGGAAAAGATGCCTTCCAAAGCCAAATATAAGGTTTATTTTTAAATTATCCACTATTTGGATTATCCATGCCATAATTCCCTGCCACCAGAATGAATAATCAGGAATTAACGGCAGAGGCATTTCTGCAGTGTTTGTCTGCAGGGTAGAGTCCGTGGGCTCTGCTCAAATGGAGAACCGAGGAGAACTTGGCCTTCCCAGTAGTGGCCTCAGGAGCGACGCTTTTAGTTCAGCTGCCAGCTGCTGCTTGTGCCTCCGCGAGGTCCGTACACAGCTCTGTCCGTGGGCAGCACGCACGTTATTTGTCTCTATATTTATTGCTCGGGGCAGAGTGAGGAGTGGCACTTGCATATCTTCATCTGTTCTTTACTCCTGATTGAGAACATGGAACACGTTTGCTGACCTTGCTTGTTCCCCCGGGCCTGCTTGTTGTTTGAAATTAGAATAGCAACATTTTTGTGGAGTCCGCTTTAACATTCCCCCTTTCTTGCCTAAGAGAACCCAAGTGAGCCTGGTGCTCTCTAGAAACGGTGTAGTAAACAAGAGCCGACTCCTGCATGGGTCTTTCAGTGTTGTAGGCTTTTCAGAGTGATTTTGGATCAGTGTTATAACTTTCTGTCCTCTCTCTAAGGTAGGTAGGATAGTAGTTACTTTTCTACTCTTCCTAGCCTCTGAGCCTTAAATCTTTTTTTTAAGAAAATGAAGTGTCCCTGAACATTGTGTTGTAGGATTGTGATTGTGATTATTAGTCATTTTTCCTCTGGTGCCATGTTGCTGTAGTGGACTGTGGGTGGGGAGATGCAAAGAGGGAGGGTGGGTGGTTACCATTGGTTGGATCTTAAGATAAGGTTGGTTGTGTTCAGAGGTGACTGATACACCTTATAATTTCAGACTGTCACATGTCACTTGATCACGCTTTTGAACTAGACCCAAACCTCTCTCTAAAGATAATTTGGAATAGAGGTCAGTGGTCACTTAAACATTTCTTACATGACATGTGCATTAGAATAATTTATGGACCAAATTCCAAACATTTCCTTTTTGGGGTAAATCGTGTCTGAAATTATTTGATTTTTTTTTTTTTAGAAAAACACACCAACTTTTTAGGCCCTATGGCTATATAAATAAGATGATTTCTGGAAAACAAATGAGCAAATAGTATGTAGAATGTCATTAGAATCATTATATCACTGTCACTGGTCCTGGGGTTGCCAGGCCTTTTCTGATTATCAGATGCAACAAATGACGTCCAATTTTATTGACCAGTTTGGCTTCAACGATGAGAAGTTTGCAGATCAAGATGACATTGGCAAGTGAGTATGTCTTCTGTTTGCATAACTGTCTCCTACACTCCTGCTCTTTGTGAGACATTCTGGTTCTCCTGGATTCTTGGAACCCTTTTGCATTCGTGAGTTGGGAGGAACCTGCCCTCCAAGTGTTCCTTTAGTTCCAACCTATCAGCCTGAAGCACCCAGACAACATGTAGGAATACAATGTCACTCCCACAGAGCAGGCTTGCCCTTGGGCTTGACATCTTTCACAGAGGTTTATTTGTATTAGGTGTAGGAACTCAAGTCATTGTGCTCCTCTTTGAGGTTTTAGTGCTAGATCACATCATCTAAAGTAGTTAATCCCTATGTCAGTTACCTGGTTACCTGGCTTGAGCAGGTGTGGTTCTCTTACAGCACACAGTGAATGGGGTATCATATTATGGCTGAGCAGCTCTATCCCATGTGTATTTTCTCTAGCTGACTCACCAGAAGGCAGAGTTGGGGCTTTTCCGCCCGAGAGCCAGGCCGTAAGTTCATTCATTCTGCAGTCAGGGAAAGAGGAGCATAGAAATGGGGATTACTGGTAATGTGCAGAATTAATGGATAGAAGATGTGTGGGCCATCCACAGAAATGAAAACAAATGTTCTAGCATCTGACCTTGGGAAATGAGAGGTATTTATAAATGAAGTATTTACAAGAGGGGTGTTACAGCTCACCAGCCAACTTCTCTCTCACAGGGGCTCCCTGATGATGGTCACCAACACCCAGCATCTCTCAGGGTTCCCCACTAGCAGTAGATGCTCAGTAGTTGGTTGAACTACAGCCAGTGGAGGCTGTTGTTTGTCATAAGTTGCAGTTTATGGCAGGTGAGAAGCTAAAAGACTTTCCATCACACTCTAATTGTGCCAAACAACATGCTGTGTTGGCACAGGGGCCTGGAGGCTCCACTGTAAGTAGAGCAGTAGTTGAAGGCTGTCAGCTGCCCTAAGAATCGGCTCATTTAAATCCAGAAAGAGCAAGGACTCGGTGTTTGTGTCTGTACCCCAGGAGCACTCACACCAGAACCCGCAAGTTCCCCCATGTGGCATCTCAGCATTTGTCTGTCTGGACTCATTTATTAAGAGTTACTAGTTAGGGACTTCCCTGGTGGCGCAGCGGTTGAGAGTCCACCTCCCGGTGCAGGGGACATGGGTTCATGCCCTGGTCCAGGAGGATCCCGCATGCTGCGGGGCGGCTGAGCCCGTGGGCCGTGGCTGCTGGGCCTGCGCGTCCAGGGCCTGTGCTCCGTGGCGGGAGGGACCACGACAGTGAGAGAGGCCCATGTACCGCCAAAAAAAAAAAAAAAAAAAAAAAAAAAGTTACTAGTTAGGAATCCATAGTCTCTTTAGAATTTGTATTGGGTATTTGGAATAATGTTTGATGAGAACAGATCTTTTAAGGATTATAAAATAGTCCCACCTACTCAAAAATTGTTTAATAGGCTCTGAATTCTTTTACTCCCTACTTTCTGCCTAACTATGCCATATTATAGCATAAGATTTCAGGGGTATCTGTGTTTTATGTATGAATTTGACTCTACCTGGAGAAAGTTCAGGGTCTGACAGCTTCTGTGACCTTTTTCGTGCTTTGACCTATTTCTTCTTTGCAAATAACCTTTTTGGGGTTATGAAGTATGGCCCATGGAACCATGGTTTCTACCGTGGACGTTAAAAATCTTCTATAGGAAGGCTTCGAGGGTGCGTTTATTATGTCGCAAGAGGCTTCCATTCCAGCCTTCCCATCCTGTGTAAATTCCTTATACCAAGGGAGGAGGTATCATTTAATGCAAGCAGAGTTTGTTTGTTGTTAATTAACAGAGATTTTAATGATAGTGTAAATATTTTACATTTGGAGAATTTCACAAATTCTCTATAGATAATTAACTATTCTTGCACTTATATTTTGTTTACAGTGTTTCTTTTGATCGGGTATCAGACATCAACTTCACTCTCAACACAAATGAAAGTGTAAGTATTAAGGCCTGTCGCGAGTAACAAGCCATACGTGAGATGGACAAGTGGGAATGGGGTTCTCTCAGAGCCTGCCTGCAAGAGCTGTGTGCACTGGGACCCCTACGCCCTAGGAAACTTTGTCTCAGATTGCTGTGACTTCAGCCACTCACATGACCTGCCTGGCCCCTGTGGGCATGTGAATTTGCAACCCTGGTTTAAGATGTGACAGGGCTAATAAAACCAGTGTAGATATTGAGCTTCAAAGACTGCTGTTTGACTCCAGCCTTCTGCCTCTTACATCTGCTGAATGTCACCAGGAGCGAAACTTGGGCTAGATCAGGGCCAGCCTCTCATCGCCAGGCGGTTCTGAAACGCCAAGTCAACCACATCAGCAGATTGACACAGGATTAGTGTCATTTTAATGGGCACAATGTTGATTTTTATGTCACTTAACATGAGAGACCAGTGGTTTATCTGCTGTTGTGATAAGTTAGAAACTAACCAATTGGACCATGACACTCGTCACTGCTTAGCTGGCCCGGTAAAAGAAGAGCTCTTTGTGTTAGGGTAGGTCTGGGCTGCATCTTAGGTAGGTGGGCCAGGGAGGCTCTTAGAATTAAAATGGTGCTTTCACCAGATGAAAGTGAGTATATGTAGACAGTCTCAGTTTCTTGTATGCTAGTTTTGAAGCCAGTCTTTTGGGGGGAACTTTCCGTTGCTACTTACACAGAAGCTGACATTAGATGCTTACATTTTATCTTGGTGTATGTGATAGACACAGTTTTTTTTTTAAGGATATAGAAGAAGATGATTTACATTGGTAACTTTTGCGGAAAATAACTTGATTTTAAAATTGATTTTCTCTCTCTCATTTTTATGTAGGGAAATATTGCCTTGTTTGAAGCATGTTGTAAGGAAAGAATACAGCAGTTTGATGATGGTGGCTCTGATGAGGAAGATATCTGGGAGGAAAAACACATTGCATTTACACCAGAATCCCAAAGACGATCAAGGTGAAAGAGAGCTCGTTATAGTAGTAATAGTGTCCAGTGCATAAGGCAAATGATTATTAGGAGACGTACATTGTAACCTCTCCAAACATATATGTTTGACCTAGAGATCAGTGCTTTTGTCACGATCAGAAATGCCCTTGTAAATTGATGTGAGTTGGTGCCACTGCACTTGTGTGCGGTGTGAACAAGTCAAGGTAATCTACTTGAAAACACTCGAAGTGTTTAGACATAGTTCATGAAATGTTGTGACACAGCCAGTTCTTATTGGCAGGTGATGCTGAGGAATGTAGTCATATCGTGCTTTGAGTAAACGGTCCCTTACCAGTAATAAGAGCAGCAGCTGAGTTATGTGTTGTTTCTTACAAAAGACTGAAAGTTTCCCCGGGGAAGGGAAAAGTTGTTTCTAAAAGTTAATTTAACTTGGGGAGACAGAGTCATGTCATTTGATACCCGCTGGGATCAACCCAGTCTCTCCCCTCTCCCCCTCATTTTTAAAATTCACTCTATCCAGAAACCCCAGTTACAATGCAGAGCTTGTCAGACTGGATAAAAAAATAAGGCCTGGGCTTCCCTGGTGGCGCAGTGGTTGAGAGTCCGCCTGCCGATGCAGGGGACACGGGTTCCTGCCCCGGTCCGGGAAGATCCCACGTGCCGCGGAACGGCTGGGCCCGTGAGCCGTGGCCGCTGAGCCTGCGCGTCCGGAGCCTGTGCTCCGCAGCGGGAGAGGCCACAACAGTGAGAGGCCCGCGTACCGCCAAAAAAAAAAAAAAGCCTGATTTATGCTGCAGATGGGAAATAAATTATTTAAAAACTTAAATTAAAAAAAAACTTTAAACACGTTAAAATTAAAGGTAGAGGGATCTATATTAATATTAAAGTAGATTTCAAAGGAAAAGGATAAAGGAAAGGTCATAAAGGGGTTATTAGAAGGACATAATGCCAGTTGTAAATGTCTACATATCTAATAACAGGGCTTCAAAATAGAGCGAAAACTGATAGAACTGTGAAGAGAAATAGGCAGATTCTACAATTATATTCAGATATTTCAGTACGCCTCTCCCAGTAAATATATTCAAGTATACATGAAATATTTACCAAGAGAGATCATATTTGGGCCATAAAGCAAGTCTCAGTAAAAATGTTTCAAGTCATACAAAATACACTGTCTGACCCCAATAGAATTAAATTAGAAATCAGTAACAGATCTCTAGAAAATCTCCAAATATGTGGAAACAAATAACACATGAGTTAAAGAAAAAAATCACAGGGGAGGGACTTCCCTGGTGGTCCAGTGGTAAAGAATCTGCTTTACAATGCAGGGGACGCGGGTTCGATCCCTGGTCAGGAAACTAAGATCCCACATGCCACGGGGCAACTAAGCCTGTGGGCCACACCTACTGAACTCGTGCACCTCAGCTAGAGAGCCTGCCTCCCGCAAACTACAGAGCCCATGTGCTCTAGAACCCCACACACCACAACAACAGAGCCCACGTGCCCTGGAGCCTGCATACCACAACTAGAGAGAAGCCCACATGCCGCAGCAAAGAGCCTGCATACCTCAACGAATATCCCATGTGCTGCAACTAAGACCCAATGCAGCCAAAAATAAATAAATTAAATAAATGAATAAATAATCAATCAATCAATCTTAACCAAAAAGAAACATTTAAAAAATCACAGGGGAAGTTGCACAGTACTTTGAATTGAAAGAAAGTGAAAATACAGTATATCAGGATTTGGACCTTGCAACTGCAACAGTACTTAAAGGATCATTTTTAGCACTAACTGCTTACATTAAAAAAGAAGAAACATCTCAAATCAGTGACCTCAACTTCCACCTTAAGAAATGACTAGAGATACAAAACAGAAAAACAGTAGGGAAAATCATTGTAATCAATGAGTCATGACTAAACGTTGTTCTTTGAGAAGATTAATAAAACTGATATACCTCTAGACAGAATGGTTCAAGGAAAAAAGAGAAGATACACATTATTAATATCAGGAACAAGAGAGATGACATCACTACAGATTCTACAGATACTAAAAGGGTAATAAGGAATATTAGGAGCAACTCTATGCCAATAAATCTGACAACATAGGTGATCTTTGAAAGACACAAACTACCAAATCTCAAGCAAAAAACGATGACCCGAGTTGTCCTGTATCAAAGAAGTTGAATTTTTAGTATAAAACTTCCCACGTACACACAGAAAAACTCAAGGTCCAGATGGTTTCTCTTTGGTGAATTCTACCAAACATTTCAGGAAGAAATAACACCAGTTTGTACAAAAGCTTCCAGAAAATTCAAAAGGAGGGAATAGTACCCATCTCATGCTGTGAAGCCACATCATTGTAACTTGATACCAAAAGCTGGCATTGCATTACATGATATGAAAAGAAAAGTGACCTGTTATTCTCATGAGCATAGGTACAGAAACTCCTTTAAAAATTATAGCAAATAAATGCAACGATGCGTCATGACCATGCAAGGTTTATTCCAGCAATGCAGAGTTGGTTTAACATTTGAAAATCATTCAGAAGGCATGTGGCTGAATCCAACATCTATTCCTGATAGGAATGCTCAGCAAACTGGAGATAGAAGAGAATTTCTTCAACTTGTTTAAAGCTTCTCCAGTCAACCTACAGTGAGCATCATACTTAATGGTAAAAGACTGAATGATTTCCCCCCAAGGTCAGGAACAAAACAAGGATATCTGTTCTTACCACTGCTTTTCAGTATTGTGCTGGAGGTTCTAGCCAGTGCAGTAAGTCAAGAAAAAGAAATAAATGGTTTCTAGATTGGAAAGGAAAAGGTAAAATTACCTTTGTTCATAGACAATGTTACTTATCTATGTAGAAAATGTGTTGTAATCGACGAAAAGACTACTAGAACAATAAAGTGGGTTTAGCAAGATTGCACAATCTTGGATCAATATAATTGTATTTTTACGTACTGCAGCCAACAATTAGAATTAAAATTACTAAACAGTACTATTCACAGTAGCATCAAAATATTAAATATATAGGGGTAAATCTGACAAAAGACATGCAAGGGCCATACACTGAAAATTATAGAACAGCTGAGAGAAATCAAGACTTGATAAATGTTTAAGAATTGGAAGACTTAATATTGTTAAGATGCCAGTTCTCCCCAGATTGATCTAGATTCAGTGTAGTCCCAAACAAAATCATAACAGGTTTTTTTGGTAGCTGTTGACAAGTTGATTTTTAAATTCATATGAAAATGCAAAGGACCTAGAATAACCAAAACAGCTTTCATTAAGAACAGCATTAGAGTATTAACACTACCTGACTTCAAGGTACAGTAATTAAGACAGGGAATAGATCAGGGGGACAGAACAGAGAACCCGTAAGTAGACCTGCACACATATGTAGACATCTGATTCATGGTGGAGGTGCAAAAGCAGATCAGTGGAAAAAGGATAGTCTTTGGAAGACATAGTGCTGGAACAGTTGGACTTCTATATGTAAAAAAATGAACTTAGTCCATACCTCTTACTGTATATACACATTAACCCAAAATGGATCTTAGGCCTAAATGTAAGACATAAAACCAGAAAACTTAATACTGGAAAATCTTTGTGACCTTGGGTTAGGCAAAGATTTCTAAGATACAACACCAAAAGTGCTGTACATGAAAGAAAATTTTGATAAGTTAAACTTTATCAAAATTAACCACTTCTGTTCTTCAAAAGACACTTAAGAGAATGAAAAGACAAAGCATACACCAAGAGAAAACATTTGCAAATCATATATCTGATAAAAGACTTCTGTGTAGAGCATATAAAGAACTCTCGTAACTCTATAGTAATAAAAAAGACAACCCAATTTTTAAAATAGGCTAAAGATGTGAAAAGAACACTTGAGAAAAGAAGATGAGCACTTGAGAAGAAGCTCAGCATCCTTGGTAATTAGGGAAATGCAGATTCACGCCACCAGGGGACACCTCCATGCACCCTCCAAACAATGCAGTTGTTTAGATTATGATCTGTGTCTTCAAGCAAAGCCCAAGTGGGAGAACAGCAGGAGACCCAGAGTAGGATCAGTCTTAACAGAATGACGGGCAGATTGGATCCAGGTGAAGTGCAGTACGATCTTTTTGTTGTTGGAGGACTTCTGAATTCTTTGGATTTAGTTGGTGGCCGACAGGCAACATTAAATATTTTGGTCCTTTTTTCCTTAGCTCGGGGAGTACAGACAGTGAGGAAAGTACAGACTCTGAAGAAGAAGATGGAGCAAAACAAGACTTGTTTGAATCCAGTAGCGCCAACACAGAGGATAAAATGGAGGTAGACCTGAATGAACGTAAGTTGCCTTCTTCCGTATCAGCCGCTGTGTGTTGGAGATAGCCTACAGTATCTGAGATGTCTTCTGAAGGAATAGTTAAGTTGAAGCACATGTTGTCATTTGAGTCCCCTTGAAGGTTTAAGTCTCAAGGACCGGGCCTAAGGGAAGGAGCAAGTTACACCTTTGATGGGAGAGCATCTCTTTACGGTTTGGAAACCTTCTGTGTGAGTCTGGCTAGAGGATAGAGCACACTGGTAGGTCCATCCTCTGGCTACAGAGACTGGGTACCAGAGCAAAAGGGGAAAGGCCGTAGATTCTGGAAAGATGAGGAAAGACTGATCTGTAGAATCAGGAGTGCACTTAAACCAGAGGAAACACCTTAAAGCTCGAACAGTTTTAAATGGGTTCTCCATGGTTTGTTTATGAACCCTGTAATCCTAAAACTTGTCCAGCTAAGTGCTTATTTATGTTTTGCTGCTTGCTAAGAAGACTTGTGTTAGCTGGCATTATAAAAATACTGTTAACTTCTAAGAGTCCAGACAAATTTTTTTGTGCAAGAGCCATGCGGGTTGCTACTAGGGCTTTCCTCAAGGCTGAAAGGGCTTCCTGTTACCCAGGAAGGCCTTTTATGACTCAGTTCCAGAGGCTGAAACCCAGCTCTGGAGGTCAGGTTCAACCTCCTCGTAACCTCAGAGTTTAGCAGTAATCCAGCAAATCCCACGTGTTACAGACCCAAAAACGGAGAGCCAGAGAGGAAGTACAGATCCTCTGTCCTCTCACTCCTTTTTCAGCTCACCTTCTTCACGAGGACGTGATACCGTTCAAATCAGCACGCCTTTATCAGGTTCCTCCTGTGTGCCAGGAGCTTAGAACCTACTGACGAAATGGAGAGGTTTACCATCCAGTGTGATGAGGATGGCGGGCCGGGGGAGCTCGGGGGGCCCGGCTCACCCCAGGCACCTTCAGAGACCTCCCAGAGAATGGGATGCATAATAAGGACAAGTAGGGATCAGTCAGTTTGCACAGAAGGCAACTCATATGAAGGCGCAGAGCTGTTTAATATAGCTCAAGAAAAGGGTGAGGTGGTGGAAGTGAGGCCAGAGGCCAGAGGAGAATTTTATCCTGAAGGCAGTAATCCTCCTCCTGAGGGTTTTACTAAGAATTACAGTATTTGATCTGTTTGGAGATGATCACTGTGGGCAGCAGCGTGAGAGCTGGATTAGAAAGGGCACACTGGAGACAGGAAAACCAGCAAGAGACTCGCCATTACATGTGAGAAATGGCGAGGGCTGATCAGGACAGGGGCCAGGCAGCAGCGAGAAAGAGACAGGCTGGAGACCCTGATCTTTTAGCTCTAGAATGTGTGTGTGTTCACGTGTACGGTTCAGTAGTGTTGAGTATATTCACATTATTGTGCAGTATATCCTCTAGAACTTTTTTTGTCTTGCAAGGCTGAAGCTGTACCCATTAAATAACCACTCCCCATTCCCCCTGCCCCAGCCCCTGGCAGCCACCATTCTACCTTCTGTCTCTGTGACAGAGAGGACCTCATCTAGGTGGAATCACAGACCTAGGGACCTCATCTAAGTGGAATCACAGAGTATTTGTCCTTCTGTGACTGGTGTATTTCCCTTATCATGATGCCCTCCAGGGTCATCCATGTTGGAGCGTATGGCAGGATTTTCTTCTTTTTTAAGGCTGAATAATATTTCAGAGTCTGTGGTTCTTTGAGGTCACTGGGTGGGTGATAAGTGACTTGGAGAGAGACCACACACTTGGTATGATTCACTACCACTGTCACGGTGACGCTGGAGCTGGGTGTGGGGACAGGGAGAGATGGAGGGGGAGCATCCTGGATGAAGGTCCCATTCACCCTTACTTGATGGGGTGTGGCCTTACAGGTCTCAGCCCTCCTGACTCTGCTCCTTGGGAAGGGCTTCCTTTGCACTGACAGGTCCACAGGGGTCGAGGTGGGGCCGGGGAATGGCGGGGGTGCTCCTCTCCTAGGGCTCTGAGCTGCCTCACCCCCCTGACTTGGAGAGCCTCCTCCATCCCCAGCAATCTCTGTGGCTTCTTTCAGTGGTTTTCGGGACTGTTGAGTTTTTAATGTTAGACTAATTCTGGGGAGCTAATCTGGGAAAGAATATCCCAGAATGATAACAACAACAGGAAAGTCATTTTTGTGTAGCCTAATTTAGTTATGAAGTGGAACTTTGACTTGGATGGAATGAGTCTAGAACTTTGCATATGGTGGGCAGGCAAAAATGCCTGTCAGATTGACCCTTCTAAGGTTGCAGGTGAGGTTTTCAGACATTGAGGTATCATCCCTTCTCAGTGCCAGTGGAGCCCAGCCGCACACACACAGAGTGCAGTGCAGGAAGCAGGCCCTCATTTAACCCTCAGGACTAAGCAGATGGTCGTATCCAAATTGAACAAATGAGGAAACCCAGGCTAAGGGGAGTTAAATAACTTGCCCAGAGTCACAGTAAGGTGGTGTGTCTGTACAATCGGTACACTTCTGTCGTACACAGGTACTTCTCGGTCATTTGTCTCGAGGAGAATCCCCAAATAGCTAGCAGATTCCCTAGTCTAGCATTCCTGGCTTACAGCCTGGAGCTTCCAGATTGTGACAGAAAACATCCCTGATAAAGAACAGTGGTCCCCACACCCAGCTTGTCCCAGCAAAGATTTGGGGACTCAGCATTGAGTACTGTGAAGGAAAGCATGGTGTGCGATGAGAGCGAGCAAACAAACAGACCTGATTCCATCTGAAGGGACACATCTCAGGTGTCGACATTTAAACAGAGACCGGCAGGTTGGACCCAAACTGCAACATGAGAGGAGCAGCACAGACAGGGAGTAGCGCCCCTGCAGTCCCGCCACTCCCACCTCTGAACGCACTCCTGTGCCTGCAGGACCTAGAGAGTCAAGAAGAAAAAAACTCCTCTCTACTTTCAGAATTTCACTTCTGACACCAAATGTGTGAGTTTCCCACACAGACCGTTTCTCCACACCAGCTGAGTGTCCTGTGCAGCTCCGTTCAGGCACAGACTACGTGGGCTTAGAGTCAGACCACACAGGTTAAGGGCTCAGTCCCACAAGATAGCTGCCCCATCCCAACCAGTATTTCTGACCAACTGGCTATAAATAGGGAGTTCCCGTGACCTCTTTGGGTTTGATTATTTGCTAGAACCGCTCATAGAATTCAGAGAAGCACTTTATCTACTATTACCAATTTATTACAAAGGATATTTTAAAGGATACAAATGGACAGCCAGATGAAGAAGTAAATAGGACAAGGCCCAGAAGGGCCCCAAGCACAGGAGCTTCTATCCCCATGGAGTTTGTGATGTGCCACCCCCTGTCGCCACCCCGGAAGCTCTGAAGTCCGGCAGTTTGGGTTTTCATGGGGACCTCGTTAAGTGGGCATGATCGATTAAGTCATTGATCATTAGTGATTAACTTGACTTCCAGCCCCTCTGCCCTTCCGCAAGGTTGGGGGAAGGGGTGGTGGGCTAGGTCTGAAAGTTCCAACCCTCTCGCCACCTGGTTGCCCCTCGCCGGCCCCCACCCTGCGGCTGTCCAGGAGCCCCCAGCCGCCAGTCATCTCATCAGCACCCATCTGTCACTTCAGAGGTTCCAAGGGTTTGGGGGGTGGGTGGTCAGAGACCAAACACATATTCCTTATTATGTCACAGGAAGCCTTGCTGTTGTTTGTGCTAATGGTAGTAGACTGCAGGGCGGCCGTGGAAAGCATGAGTGTGGAGCGTGGCCGGGCGTGGACTGGGAAGCATTAAGGTTGTTTCCAGTTTACTGCAGTTGAATAGCCGGCATGCTTTTCTTTAAAAAAAATAAACTATTTATTTTGGAATAATTTTAGATTTACAGAAAGGTTGCAGAGGTTGTCAGGGAGTGGCTGTATACCCTTCACCCATCTTCCTCCTGATGTTAATATAACCTTGGTACATTTGACAAAATTAAAAAATTAACATCAACGTGTTCTTTTATGTGTGGCTTTGTATTCTTGTGTGATAATCTCTATTGGAAAAAAAATCATAGAGAGGAATTGCCAAGGGATCAAAGGGAACACACAGTTTTATAATAGGGTAGATGTCACCAAACTGCCCTCCAAGTGGCTGTACCATGTCCGCTTCTACCCACGGTGTATTCGAGTGCCCTTGGCCCACAACTGTGGGCTTTTCATCATTGCACATCTGTTTTTGAAAAATATTTGTGTTATAGTAAACTACTGAGGTGTTCTCAAAATGAAATCCTTCCCCTCTTTTTAGCGCCCAGCTGGTCAGCCAGCTTTGATGTCCCCATGGAGACAACGCACGGTGCTCCCTTAGACTCTGTGGGCTCTGACGTCTGGAGCACAGAGGAGCCAGTGCCGACTAAGGAGACAGGCTGGGCTTCTTTTTCCGAGTTCGCGTCTTCCCTGAGGTGAGCATGTGCGCCAGCTCTCTAAAGCTTTCCACAGGAGAACCGAGGATGCCATGGGTGTTGTTGACACTGTTGGTCACCTTGATTTTCTTCCAAGTTGAATATAGTGCCTTAGCATCAGCAGGGGGAGGGATTGACACAGCTATGAGTTACAAGAAGAACAGTCCTCCTCCTTCTTTCATCCAGGATGAACTGGGAAAGGAGTAGATCGTAACAAAGTAGGCTGGGGAGATATGGCCAGCAAGTCAGCACAGTGCTGATGAAGGTGTCGGGACAGGCTTGGGAACAAGGTGAAGCCAAAGAATTCCTGGCAGACACCTCAGTGTGGAATATTACAGAAAAATGCAGAATATATCTTGAATTGAATAGATAATATGAGCTTGTATTTCGCTTGTAGCTGGTCTAGTGCTGTAAATTAAGGGGTGTGACAGGTATGGCTGTCAATCTTGTTAACTGTAATTCTCAGTAACAGCAACCTGTCATTTTGAAGTTTTCCTGAATAATATTGTCAGCACTTGAGTATTAACCATGGACTTCATGTCTTGTTAGACTTACTTTGATTTGATTAACGTTTTATTTCATCTACTGAAAAACAATCAATCTCCAGCACCCCATTTGAAAGACTTCGTTGCTTTCCCCATTAACCAGTGATGCTTTTAAACAGTCACTGCTAATGGAAAAGATGCAAAGACAAACTGTTATGAACTCGCATGTACCGTTACAGACAAACCAAAGAGGCGACCTTACAGCACCTCTAATAATAGCAGCGAGCCGTTATTCAGAGGTAAAAGTGAGATTTATGGAAAATATCTCCAAAATATGATGAGTTACTTCACTGACTCTTCCAGTGCAGGACAATCAGGTTTCCAGCTCTTGCTCTTCTGGTTACTTGAGAATGTTGTTGGAGCATCTTGTTTACCTTTACAAGCCCTTGTGCACAGGCCGTGTTTTCTCATTAAATATCATTAGGAGGGCCAGGCCCTCTAGGCAGTTTGACTTGAGGTGATAAGGATTTTTGTAAAAATGGCACTGCAGATACAGTTCATATTGTACAGTGTACACACTGCTGTGCCAGCCCTGGGAGCCTGGTGATTATGTGACCATGAGGGGCTGGGGGCATTTTGAAACTGTCTAGAAACCTCTGAGAAGTCCCTGTGTGACTGCCCTGCTGATTTAGCAGAATATCGGCCCACCCACACTCATCTGCTACTCCAAGCCGCCGTCCATGCTTAGATCTGTGTGTCATTCATTGGAGTCTATAACCAACTGTGTCTCCCCAGTGGAACTGGAACTGATGTTCAAAGGTTTTTTGGGAATAATGATAACTGACGTCTGTTTCCCACTGCTAACCTCTGAATTTTCTCTCTTCTAAAAGTACAAAAGACTCTTTAAGGAGCAGTTCTCCAGTGGAAATGGAGACCAGCACGGAGCCAGTGGGCCCGCTGGCGCCCAGTGTGGCTGCGCTGGCAGTGCAGCCGGAAGGTGGGTGCAGAGAGCGCCGAGGCACAGCCTGTGGGCCGCTCCTTTGGTGGTGGTTCACACTATAACTTTATGCTGAGTTTTCTAGATCGGAAAAGTTGTCTTTGTCCACAAAGCAGGTTTTTAAAAAAGTTCAGGGGCTCCAAGGACCCAGGAAAATGAGATGGTGGGTCTGATGTGAGCAGGGCTATTGAGGAAAAGAAGTTGTGTATGTTTGCCAGAACCACAGCATGCTGATCCTAGAACAGTAAGGGATCTAAGTTACCAGTCATTCGGTTCCCTCAAGACAGGAAAGGAAACAGGCCCAGAAAGGATGAATGGCCTAGCTTACAGCACCCAGGGTGAATAAAACCAGAACTAGTCATGTGTGCTCCAAACCCATCTTGCACCCAGGGTGAATTAAACCAGAACTAGTCATGTGTGCTCCAAACCCATCTTGCACCCAGCTCTTTCGTCCCTTGGAGTTTGCTTTCTTGGTGCATATGTGTATGTCTGGGCACATTTCAGGCTCTCTGGTGGTTTATTTCCTTCCCACCTTTGTGAATAGGTGAAATGGTCAAGGGTATCCAGTGACTGTCTTTTTCAAAACATGCACTTGTTCCTTGCGTAGGCCCTGAACTATTTTCAACCTGATGAGGGGCGTGGGAGGTGGGGGGAGAGCACGGAGGTTAGTGAGGGGGCGAGGAGTGGGCGTGGATAGTATGTGGAGGAAACAGAGAAGCCAGTCCTTAGAAAGGAAATGAGGGTACAGGTAGAGGGCACAGGACCCAAGGGGCAGGAAATTAATAAAGCCAGAAATTAGTATTTTGTAAACATTCTGTATATAGATGACATAATTTGTCCCTCAGCGGTTCTACAGGTGGCTTCAAATACCCCCATTTTGTGGATAAGAAAACTCAGGCATAGGTTGGGTTCTTTGCCCTGGGCTCTGAGGTTGGTAAGTGGTAAGGTGGTAAGGCTGGGTGTGAATTCAGGAAGTCTGACTTCAGAGCCTACACTCATAACCAGTATACCCCATGGTTCCCTCTTATAGAACAAAGAAATAATCCACAGGGAACCACAAAAAGGTAACTTTAAAAAAAGAAAAGAATAGGACCCAAGTGTGGGACAAGTGAGAGGAGAAGGATGAATGAGAAGGGTGCATGGATAAACCACGAACTGGGCTCTGGTGGGTTGTGGTTGTAGAATATACGACCACCTGTCCTGCGCTGGGAACTGGAGAACATGAGGGGCAGGAGAGTTGACTGGGAGAAAGTTGGGTGTGCAGGTAGCTGGGGAGACGGGGGACTCACCAGTCCTACACTGTGGGGAACCCACGCAACTTCTCTCCTGTGGGCATCGCTAAGAGGCAGCAACAGGCAGATCATGTCACTTTCCTTCTTCTTCAAGCAGTAGAGGTAACGTTGGGTGGCTGGGTCTGCACAGATGTTCGTGACATTCAGCTGTGTGTCCTTTTCAGCACCAGGCAGTGTGGCCATGGAAGCCAGCTCTGATGGAGAGGAGGATGCAGAAAGTACAGACAAGGTAACTGAGACAGTGATGAATGGCGGCGTGAAGGAAACTCTGAGCCTCACTGTGGATGCCAAGACAGAAACCGCGGTCTTCAAAAGGTAACCAGGGCTACAGTGTGCTGGCAGCTGCAGGTTGTTGGAGGGGCGGGGGGAGGCAGAGGGGACAGAGACCGCAGATACTAACAGCTTTAATTTGATTCAAATGTGGGTTCAGACATTAGCCTGACATCTTTCTAATATCTCCGTTAAATTCATTGAATCTTAACAAAGAGATGGAGTTTGGTTCATTAAGTGGTCCTCCCCCCCCTCCCCGTTTTCTTTAAAGATTATTTATGTAGTTATTTATGGCTGCGTTGAGTCTTCATTGAGGCACGCAGGATCTTTCGTTGCGACGCGCGGGCTCCTCTCTAGTTGTAGCGTGTGGTTTTCTCTCTCTAGTTGTGGCACGCGAGCTCTGTGGTTTGCGGCATGCGGGCTCTAGTTGAGGTGCGCGAGCTCAGTAGTTGTGATACACGGGCTTAGTTGCCCCACGGCATGTGGGATCTTCCCTGACCAGGGATCAAATCCGCGTCCCCTGCATTGTAAGGAGGATTCTTTACCACTGGACCGCTAGGGAAGTCCCACCCCTCCCCTTTTAATAGTGTTTAGAAGACTGTAGGTTCAGAACACTGATGGATTCAAAATACGTGACTATAAAAAACTGACAATTTCTAGCCATGATAGGAATTGCACTGGATACAGGCAGGCTGCAAAGCTTGGACCATCTAAGCCAAAGGTTTGGTACTATACAGATCATTTTCTCCAGACATAATGCAGTCAGCAGAATTCAGTAGCAAAATGATAGCTTTAAAAAAACATATTTGGAAATTAGCCTCACTTCTAAACTCATGGATCAACAAGGAATCATAATGAAGATGAAAAACTTAAAACTGAAAGAGTAATGAAAAAGTTCTATCGAAACCTACAGACTGGGCTTCCCTGGTGGCGCAGTGGTTAAGAGTCTGCCTGCCGATGCAGGGGACACGGGTTCGTGCCCCAGCCCGGGAGGATCCCACATGCCGCAGAGTGGCTGGGCCCGTGAGCCATGGCTGCTGAGCCTGCGCGTCCGGAGCCTGTGCTCCACAACGGGAGAGGCCACAACAGTCAGAGGCCCGCGTACCGCAAAACAAAAACAAAACAAAAAAAACCTACAGACTGCAACTAAACCAGTGCTTAGAGCTCTGGTCTCCATCTTACACAGACCCTTTCAGATCACGAGAAGTAATGCTTCCCAACTCATGAAGTCAAGCAAAGTATGAAAGAAAAAATAGTTGTAGGCTAATTTCACATGTGGGTCTATATGTAGAGCACTTTAAAGTTAAAAGCTAGCAAACCAAATCCAGCAATGTGTTTTTAAGTCATGACCAAGGATGTATCGCATGAATGTAAGGATGTTATAACATTGTAAAGATTATTGAAGGTAATTCACAGATAAAAGGATAAAAACCCTTTGGACCTTCGGTAGACAGAAAAGCATTTGATAAAAATTAAAGTTGTTTGTGACTATTTAGCAACCTAGGAATAGAAAATAGCTACTGATAAAAGTGTCTACTGAAAGTCTACAGCAGACTTTATTCTTAACGGTGAAGCATTATTTTGAAGAAATAGCCCCTTCAAAGACATGACCCAGACAGCGAACCCTGCAGTGACTGCTTCTCTTCAGCACTGTGCTGCTGGTCTTAGCACATGCAGCATAAATAAAAACAGATTTTAAAGAGATAAAATGGTTACTGTTTGTTTGTAGGTTATGATTTTCTACATAAAAAATTCCAGTGGAATCTATAGGTAAATATTAGAATTATGAGGAAAGTTTAACAAGTTTACTGGATGAACCCACAAATCAATTGCACCTTATAAGCCAACACAAGATGTCTTAGATGTGTCCCTCCCCCTTTTTAAATGAAAAGTTAAACGTTGTCGATAACTAAGACTGAAAAAAAACAAAGGCCTAAATAAATAGGGAGATATACCATGTTTGCTATGGGACGGTATCTTTGGCATTTCTTAACAAATTAATCTATAAAATGAACGTATTTCTCATCAAAATCCCAATGGAGTTTTTATGAAAGGGAGAAGCAGATTGTGAGAGTCCCAGAGAAAGACCAAGGGGAGCCAAGAATAGCCAAGATCATGTTAAAGAGAGTAAAGTAAGGGAGCTTCACGGTATTAGGCAGCAAGACTCACTATTACTGAGATGATGCGTGTGACCTAGGCACAGAGTTGTACAAACAGATAGACAGACAGACCCCCTACACTTACGTGTTAGGGTGACATAAGCTGGTGAGGAAGGAAGGGACTAATAAATAGTGATTATCCAATGTTGGAGAAAAATAAGATTAAATCTCTCTCTCAACATAAGTATGAAAGGCAAAACTACAACTTTCAGAAGACAGCATAAGAGAGTATCTTACAACTTTATGGTAAAGGGTTTCTTAACCATAAAAAAGCCAAACCATAAGAGGAAAGATTAATAAATTTGACTTTATTTAATTTCTAGTATTCCAAAAGACACAATAAAATGAAAAGACAAGCCGTAACCAGCAAAGAAACATGCAGTAGCAGGATATAGGAAGAACCTAATATCAAAGGAAGAGACACAATCTAATAATAACTTTTTTAATTGACAAAGAGTACAAACAAGCCATTATTGGTGGAGGAAAACAAGGAGCAGACTAACGGGTCAGCCTCAGCCTCGCGTCAGTGACAGTAATGATTCAGTGCTATTCCATGCATTTTTGTTTGGTTGTTCGTTGTTTTGGCTGTGCCATGAGGCATGTGGGATCTTAGTTCCCCAAATAGGGATGGAACCCATGCCCCCTGCAGTGGGAGTGCAGTCTTAACCACAGGAACGCCAGGGAAGTCCCTCCATGCATGTTAATCTATTAATTCCTATCTAAATTGTTACAGAAAATAGAAAAAGTGCAAAAGCTGCCTTTATCTTTTTATGAGGCAGTGAAATCTTAATTCCAAAACAAATAAGGATAATTACGGAAAATGATCAGCTTATGTCACTTACAAGCAAATTAAATGCAAACATCCTATATAAAATATTTGCTAACTGAACCCGACAGTATACTAAAATTAATTCATAATGATCAGTTAGAGTTTATCCCTGGACTGCAAGGATGGTTCAGCATCAAGAAATCTGTCAGTGTAATTCACTGCATATTAATAGAGTGAAAGAAGGTCATTTGATGTTTTTGATGAAGCTTTTGAAAAAAGCTATATATGATTAAAACACTGAGCAAATCAGGAAGAGAAATGAATTTCCTTAACTTGGTAAAAGCTAAATACCAAAACACTACACCAAAAAGTATACTTAATGAAGAAATTTTAGTTGCATTAACTTTCATGGAAGGAGCAAATAGGGATGCCCATTGTCACTGCCACTGTATAGGCAGTCCTGGGGAGTGTTAAGAAGAAAGGAAAAAGAAATAGAGGTATAGGTAAAGATGAGATGGGAAGTGATGAAACTGATTATTTGCAGGTGATAATGATCAACTACAGCTAGGTCAGTAGCAGACTTGTAAGATTTCAGCAAAGCTGCCAGGTAAGAGAGCAATTTAAAAAATCAGTAGCCTTTCTCTACATCAGCAATAGGCCACTAGGTTGCATATAGAATAAAAAGGAAAGTGCCAGTCACAAAATACATCCAACTATAAATTATTTAGGAATTATCTTAACCCAGATATCTATAGAGAAAACTCGAAAGTGCTAATAAGAGGAGCCACAGAAGAAGATCTGGACAAGTGAAGGCCATCACGAGATGGGACAGCTCAGTGCTGCAGAGACACCCACCATCACCAAATTAATCTGTAAGTTTAGTGCAGTCCCAGTCACAATTTCAGTTGGATTTTTAAGACACTTGATAAGCATATTCTAAAATTCATGTGGAATAAAAAGTTTCCCAAATTGCTTAGAGAGCCATAGAAAGGTTAAATAAGAGACTTACCCTGGCAGTACTGGTCATGCTGCAAAGTCAAAATACTTAAAACAGTGTAATATTAGCACACAGATAGCTAAAGGGGCCACTGTGGTGAGAGGGAGCTCAGTCCCAAGGCGGATGGCGCAGCAGGTGACGGAGGCGGGCTCACTCAGTGAAGCCTGAGCACGAAGGGTGAGAGCACACGTGCAGCGCCTCCTGTGTGCCCGGCGCTGTGCCAGATGTTTTTCACGTGTTAGCTCGTTTCTTTCTTTCAAGGACCCTATAAGTACCATGGCTATCCTCCCACTTTCCAGATGACGAAAATGATATACTGGAGTTAAGTGATGTGGCCAGAGTCTCATGGTAGTTAGAAGAAAATGCAGTGTATCCTGACCTGTGGACAGAAAAGGACTTCTTTTTCAAAACAAAACAAAGCAACCTCAAAAAAAAAGCAACCTCCAAAAGCATAAACCTCATGCAAAGAATAGAATTGGATTACATCAAATTTAAGAATTTCTGGCTAATAAAGTATTGTAGACAAAATTAAGAGACAGATGGCAAATTGAGGGGGGGGAAGCTTACAGCTGTAAATCAGTCAGAAATTAACATTTAATATTCAAACCAGTAAGGAAGAGATGTAGAAAACCCATATCAGAAAATGGGCAAAAAATATCATTAGGCAGTTTACAGACAAGGAAACCCAAAGGGGCAAAACTAAGAAGAGATACTCAAAACTCATTCATATCAGACACCTCTTACTAGACTGGCAGGAATTGGAAAGGTGGGAAATGCTGAGTATTGGTGGGGCTCTGGGGCTACAGGAGTCCTGTCGCCCTGCTGGTGGGCATGCTGGCTGGAAGGATGACCAGCATTTTCCACTCCTGGGTGTAGAGCCCCGAGAAGTGTCCCAGCGGGTCCACTGGGGCCCCAGCAGGCAGTGGCAGCGTTGCAGCCCTGTGCACAGAGGCACCGGTCGCTGTGAGAACGCGGTAGAACGGGAGGTGTGCACCGTGGGATGCTGTGCTACAGGCAGCAGGAAAAGATGGCCCTCCAGACTGTGCTGGTACAGAGATAAATGCAGGGAGGTGTGCGGTTCCAGGCCAGTGATGTGTCTCAGAATACACGCACAAGAATGAAAGTAACATGTATTGAACACATCAGCATAGTTGCTTTGGTGGGCAGGGAGTGGAGAATGGGGATAAATTAGGAGGAGGTTCACTTTCCTCCTTGTAAGTTGCCAGACCCGTCTGAAAGCCACCGAGAAGTCATCCTAAAGTGAGGTTTTTCCTAAGCAAATCTGGGACAGGACCCCACACTGAGAATGATGGACTGTCCCAGAGGGAACCTTTAGCTGCCCTTAAGCTCAATTTAGTGCCGTCTTGAATTGTGTCAAAATGGGAATGCCAGACACAAGATAGGCAGAAGTCTAAATTCCCCGCCCACAGACAGTTGACGGCATTTGCTCCTTGTCTTTCTCTGCAAGAGCTCTATCTAAGGGGAAAATCATCCTTTCATGTTTTGTTTCCCCAAGCCTCTCTGTGACCCCTCAGGACCAGTTTTTACCTTTCTGGCCACTGTTCCTGGCTCTCTTTCCCTCATGGTTTGTCCTTCTCACGCAGTCAGAGGACAGCTCGGGAGCTCACCCTGACTCAGGCTGCGTGGCTCACGCGACGTCAGCCAGCAAGCTGGTGGGGGATTGGCCCTGAAGGCAGAAATCTTGAACTAAAGACTCATTCCTTCAAACAGGTTCCTTTGACACCTTCACCGAGTCTGCAGTTCTGCTTATGTGCAGTCGTGGACATATTATTCCCCCAAATACCTCATTTATAGGAGTATTCTGAAACTCTTGTACATTTCTTTTTCTGTTTTGCACACTTGGCTTCAGAGTGTTGAAATCCTACCGGTATGTACAGTGATGGGGGACCATTCTTTACCAGACACCAGCTGCATTACATGGTCCCTCTTTCGGCTCCCAGTTGTGTGTGATCCTCCCCTTCCATGGTTTCCCAGTCGTGTCTGTGGTCCCTGTGATCCCACCCACCCACCAGCATGCTCAGCCCCGGGGCTTGGACCCATGGCCGCCATGACTTCCAGAGCCAAGTGCATGCGCCCTCCTCCTCCACCCGGTGCTGCCGCGTCGGGCGTCTAACGCTGCCTGTCGTCCTCTTTACTGCAGTGAGGAAGGAAAACTGTCTACCTCTCAAGATGCTGCTTGTAAAGATGTGGCGGAGAGCCTGGAGACGGCAGAGGGGAAGTCTGCAGCCCCCCGGCCCCCCAGCAGCAGCCCAGAGCAGAGGTAACCACCTGCTTCCGGCCATCCTGCCTGGGCCCTGCTCTGGCTTTGTCTCCTGGGAGCTGGGAGGGAAGCTGGTATGGCGGTGGGGGGTCGTTACCGTTGTCCTCAGGTGTTCAGTGACTTGCACAGAAGCATTTTCTCAGTTCCGAATGGTAATCAGGGTGACTGAGCTGAGAACTTAGACGTAACAGTTCATCTCCTACTGCAGAAACTGAAAACTAACTGGTTTTCGGAGATTCAGTAACATCACTGGCTCTTTGAGAAATTATTTGGGCTGGAAGGGTCTCTCATGCTGGCATATCCCCACCCCACCCACCCACCCACCCCCTTTTTTTTTTCTTGATGAGGCACCAGGTTGAGGCTGATACTGAGCCCTTCCAGGATTGGGTTCCCTCAGTGCCATAGTCACCCAGCTGCCAGGCACACACAAGCGGCTCCCTCGTGCCTCCCTAGTTCCCACAGATGTGTCCACGTGACACACGGGAGGGCTTTCCTGGAGACCCTTTCATATGTGTGGCTAAATGCTCTCCACTCTCAGATGAGTCCCTCTTTGGTTTTGTTTTGCAAAATATTTATCTTGTCCGGATGAAGTGTGAAAATCCCACCACCAGAGCCAAGGGATTTGAAATGTGTGACGTTATCTGTCTAGTCACTTTTTTTTTGTTTTTTTTACGGTACGCGGGCCTCTCACTGTTGTGGCCTCTCCCGTCGCGGAGCACAGGCTCCGGATGCGCAGGCTCAGCGGCCATGGCTCACGGGCCCAGCTGCTCCGTGGCATGTGGGATATTCCCGGACCGGGGCACGAACCCGTGTCCCCTGCATCGGCAGGCGGACTCTCAACCACTGTGCCACCAGGGAAGCCCTCTAGTCACCTTTTGCTTAGACTGAGCCCGTGGTCTGGAGGGACAGGCCTAGCCAGAGCCCCAGCCCGCAAGGGCCACCCTGGGCTGTGTGCAGCCCCGCAGGCAGGGCGAGGGCGGCCTCCTGTTGCTCCAGAGCTTGTGTGGGAAGTTCAGGACTTGCCCTTGGACCACAAGGACCTTCGCTCAGGGCTGCGCAGACTGAACTGTTTTAATTAAATATATCCAAGTTTGTATATTCCTTCCATAAGGAATAAAGTAACTTTTAAAGCCATTTCCGAGAAGTACTTTCCCTCTCACCTGATGCCCCCAAATCTAGGCATTTTAGGGGCAGTGTAACCAGTGGGAACCAGCAGGGGGCACTCTCTGTTCACTGGTCAGTAAACCTGTCTATTCATAGTGTAGGAAACCCTGCTTTTGTTTCTCTCATGGAAATTACAGCTGGGATGAGGGGTTTGCTTTTGTAATTAAAAACTTGTGTGTGTGTGTATAAAACAAATTAATTATAAGAACTACTTGTGCGTGTTGGCTCTAGTGGTGGCTTTGGGAGGAGGAGACGGGATGGCACTCCGGCTGCAGGGGAGCCAGCCCCAGCTGTGCATCTAAGGGTTTGGGCAAATCACTTTTTTGCCTAGGGTTTGGTATGTTTTTTCAAAGGTCCTCTGTAGGTGTAATAATCTAAGCAGTCATTGTCACCTCCCTAGTGTCTCCCTGTAAATTTCCTTTATATGGAGAGCTGCCTACAAGATATCTAACCTGTCCCACTTTGGAGTCGTTGCTCCTGGAGTGTGTTCTTGGTTTCTCTGACATGAGTGATACAGCCAGCCTGTGGGATCGGTTACTGGGCTCTGGAGTGCAGAAGTGTTTGCCTCGGGGGACCCACTTGCTCTTCGTGCAGAGACACATCTGGGATGTGGAGCCCTGCCTCTCCTGATCTGCAGGACTCAGGCAGTGGAGGAGAAAGGTGGGGAGAGCCAGTGGGAGAAGAGGGGGCATCACTTGTCTGCCTGTCCTTCCTCCATCCAACACACATATGAGTGCAGCAGCCACTGGTTTAGGCCTGGTGATAAAACAGTAGCAAAACAGACCCCACAGATAACATATAGGGACATGAAGAATAAATAAAGCTGGATGAAGGAATAGAAGTCCCACTTTAGGTAGGGCAGTCGGGGCATCTGAGCTGCTGTTTTGGCGGGGACAGAGGTAGGTTTTCTGATGTGTCACATGTGCATTCTAAAAGCTTACGGCACTGTTGACAATGAAGATAGCCATTTGGGACTTTCTGTATGCAGTCTTACCGAGATGGTTCCTGTCACAACCAAATATTATTTTTGAGGTTGACAGATGTGCACTATTGCACGTAGAGCTTTTCATTGCCACAAAATTTTATTTTTCAGTATTAAGTATGCATGGTATCTGTGCCAGCAGTGTGCAAACAGGTACCTTGCATACGTTGTATACTTACCTCTTTGCAGGGGCGGGGGTTATTGTCCCCCTTTTACAGGGGGAGAAAACTGAGCTGAGAGAGGTTAAGACACAGCTTGTAAGTGGCGAAGGCAGGGCATGTGCCCGGCTGTGTCTGGTTCCAGAATGCTGGTGCCTGTGTCTCTGTGATACATTGAGACACCATGGAATGTAGGTAGAGTCTGCTGTGTGAGTGGAGCTAACTTCGTGGGTCTCTGTTAGGATTAGCAGGGGTCTGGAGCACTCTGTAAAGTTGGAGTGCCGGTTCAAGAGTGCTTGTGCTTCCCAATTTCAGCTCTAAACATCTTTTCCCAAGTCTCGTTCATAAGACGTAGGTCACACTGTAGTTCGGCAGGAAGGTCCTGGGTACCCTGTCACCACTTTGTTCCTTTCATATCCCCCTCTCCCCCACCCCCGCCCCCCACAGCATCACCCCTGATGTTTGCTTCGGGGGAGCACGTGTTAAAGTGCACACCTTTGTTCTCAAAGTTGGTCCTTTTACAAACTTTTGTCGTTCCCCACCCCCAGCCCCCAGTAGCAAAATCCTATTTTTATCAAGTGAAATTTTATATGGATTGCAATATACAGAACAGAGAACGAGCTGTTTTGAAGGAGGGATGAGCAAATAGCTCCTGAAGGTTCGGGGACCACTGACCAGTCTGTCCCTGTGCTTCTGAGAGGCTGAGGCGTGGTGGGTCTCACGGAGCCCCCGCTCCTCTGCAGCCCTTGCTAAGTGCTTAGTTCACCGGAGCTGAAGCTTAGAGCTGTTCAGTTAGATTTTCTGGAGCTTTAGGGAAATGCATTTAAGAAGCATTTCATGAAGTAACTGCTGAGTGCAGGCTTTGTGCTAGGCACTGCGTAGACAATATTCAAATAAACGCTCCCCACCCTCGGGGAGCTACACGGAGTTGGTCTCACCCCGCAGGACTGAGCAGTCGAGCATGCCGGGCGATGCGGCGGTTAACGGCCCCGTATGATGAGCGAGCTCCGCTGCCGCTGCTGCTGCTGCTGACCGGGGACCGCAGGCGCCACCGTGCGGGGTCCAGGGCTGCGTCGGGAGCCCACCGAGCCACCGCTGCTGCACTCACTCTGCAAGGGATCAGGACCAGCAACCTTTATATTCTAGAGTCTAAGACGTTGTACAGAGAAACCCAGAAGTGTACAAATATTGCACATTGACAAATACCAAGAATTTTTGCGTATGTTTATATTGTATTGTTCTAAATAATGGGTAGCCTGTGAAATAAGATCTTGCCACCCATGTAATAATAGTAGTAATACTATAGTTAAAATGGCTGTAAGAATAGTTTTATAAAAGTGAATACACAGATCTATTGTATTTGAAACATAACTATTTGACAATTATTAGTGTGACCAAAGTATTAGGCAGTTTTCATACATTTTTCACCTTGTACAAAGTTCTGAATTCATTTTTCTTCCAGGTTGGCGAGGAGTTATAGGATTGAGATGCCCTCTAAGTGTTATTTTGGTTGTTCTAACTTACAAAAGTGATTTTGAATAAGAAATACTTGGTGTTCTTTTTATAACCAGTTTTTGATTGGTAACTGTTTTCTGTATTGTTTAAAGCGGATCAAAAAATGTAAGTCTATTGGTAGAGATTAAGTATTTATTGCTACAACTTAGTTGATAAATTGATGTTATTGTAAAGCCATATGTTCTGTTAAAGTCTTGTTTGCTTGAACTGATTATCCCTACAGGTGAAACACTAGAATATTTGGAGTGTACATGGCTTGTGGTTTGGGTTTTTTTTTGTTTTTGTTTTTTGTTTTGTTTTGGTTGTTCATCTGCCTTTTAACCCATTCACCAAAATTTACCTTGTTAACAAGCAACACCAATGAAAGTTTCAGAGCAATCTGCGTATCTCACATATCTAAATCATATTAGGCAAGTCAGTGGGAAAATGCTCGTGCTGCTAATGGAATTAGAGTGCGTTCATTTTACAGGCTAGTGTTTTTAAACTAGAAATCAAAATCCGGCACCTGAGCATGTTAATTGTTTTACTGTACCTTGTGAGGTTTTCACTCGTAAATTCTAAACCAGTGTATTTTTTTTTAAGAACTGGTTTGTGTACATATATAGTGATTATGGATACTAATTCAGTGTAATTTATAATTTTCTATGTCAGTATAAAAATACATCACAGCCTTCTCAAACAGCTGAAGCAATATATTGTATATTGCCATATTGTCTGGTGAAAGGGTTAAATTACTTCACCTCCTGCACTTTTAGATGCAAATCAGTTTTTCATTTCTGTAATAGAAAATTATTCACGTATTTTTACATCATTTGTTTTTCCTGACCAGTATTTAAAACCAAAAGGATATTCTGAAAAATGGCCAACGATTTTTTTTAGAAGTAGCATCCCAAGCAGCGTGCCTAAACATTACATTGCATATGGAAATAAAAAAATCAAATGTCTAATGCCTTATTTCTGATTTACTTTTCCATTGTAAATGGTGTGGAAACCTTTCATGAGGTTTCCCGAGGCAGACCTAGCCCTCAAGGACAGTGGAGTCGGCAGTGCCCCTGGGACAGACGGCAGGGCTGCTGTGCCTGGCCTTTGCGCGCCTCCTCAGGGACCCTTTCTGTTGGGAGCTCCTCTCAGAAGACACTGTCCTCGGGTGCTCTCCCCAGGACTCTAGCACTGCCAGAGGACAGGGCGCCCTTCGCTTGTCTCAAGGATGCTGACTGATGCGGCCCGGACCTCGGGGACTGTGGAAGGACGGCACGCTCTTGTCTCGCCTGGTGGAGAGCTTTGTGGGCACCGACCTGGCTCCAGGGGTGCACGCGCTGCCCCTGTACCGTCTGGATTTGCTTGGCTTCTCCGTCCCACCCAAGGTAAACACGGTGTCTTATTTCATCCCACCCACTGCTGATGAAAGGGCACTCAGGGTTTCTCCTTGGGGTGGTGTTTTGTTCTGCTCGACTCGCGTGGCAGGGAGGGGGCATGGGTGGGCAGCACAAAGGCTGTTGGGGGTGGGAGGGTGTCAGCCCCGGGGGCAGGAGCAGTGAGCACAAGCTCACTGAGTTTCTACTTTCATTTCTGTGGGTTGGCCATACTGAATGCGAGACTAACAGATGTCTACTACACCATACCTGTATTAAAAAACGACAACAAAATAAAGCCTGATTCTTTGTTTCTAGAAGTCTTCTCTTGTACCTTGCTTGGGCTTTAATAACTAGACAGGGTGTGGGGCCTTAATGAGAGAACCACCATTGGTTTTTGACGGGTCAGGCTTCCTGACACCAGCTCTCGTGCTGCATGCACCAGATCCTGCGCCGGGGAGGCCGAGCAGCTGCACCCAGGAAAGAGCCTGCTGTCCACGGGCTCGGGGGCTTGTCCTGCCCAAATGGCAGGAGCAGCCAGAGCCCGACGCGCAGGGGCTCCGTGTACTTTGTTCAGGGGATCTGCTGCGAGCTTGTGCTGTGTCTGTCCTCCGTGTATAACACCTCCCCAGCCTGGGGTTTTGGCATCCGGCCCCAGGAGGTAGCTTTGGAGGCAAAATTTCTCAGGTGTTCCATAGAGGTATTTAGAACGTGATGCTGTGTCACAGCTGCTCCTTTTCCCTCCTCCGTCTGTTCGCATAAGCAAGTGTCCCCCTGGCTGTTACCAATGCCCCCAGATATCAATGCTAGCCACCACGTCCCCCTGTGCTAGTCTGGGCACACACCTCTGGGCCCCCGGATGCCGCAGGCCCCGCTGAGCGCTCAGAGCCGTGGGCTCCGGGCCGGGGCTGGCATTCACTCACAGGCCGCCCCACCCACCCAGGATGGAGAGCTGCTTTTTGTCTCAGCTGCTTTTTCTGTCCGATGGGGAAACCACAGCCACGAATTCATGGATCTAAAGCACATGGAACAGTTCTTGCCTTACTGCAAACACTTCATAAATGTCAGTACGTGCTGTCTCCTCACTTCTCAACCCCCTAAGGTCACCTACTGGCCTTTCTAAATCCTGGCTTTGAGCCTGTGGTTCTGTTTGCAAGCTGAACCTCCAGAAAACTCAAGCACCTTCACTCCAGGTAGATGGATTTAGTCATTTTTCAGCTTCAGGGTCGGCTACCTCCCACGTGCCAGCTCTGGCCCAACACCTGTGTTTACAGGTGGTTTTCTTGGGACAGAGCTATGTCCCTTCGTTTGTCCATTGTCCACTGCTTTTGCACCACGGTGACAGGCCAGGAGTCGTGTTCCTTGTCTCGCTCCATAGCCGGTGTTCATTCTTTCCTTCGATTCGGTTTCTTCTCTCTGGATCCTGTTCCCGTCCTTACTGATACCTTTTCGGCTCGGCCATTCATTTTCAGCAGGCAGTGCGTGCTGGCTTTGCCCTTACCGTCTGTACCAGTCGTTCATTACTTACATAATGAACAGACGACACAGTGCTGCCTTTGAATTTATTACCCTAGGTGGGTTCTAAATGCTTAAAGGCAGGGACCCCTCAGCTGACTATTTCATACTGCCTTCCGTAAGGCATTGAGTGGTTTGGTTTTGTTTCTCCTGTACAATTCTCCACTTGTTAACAGAAAACTGAGTTCTTAAAGCACTGTTCTAAAAGCTTTATGTGCATTAACTTGTTTTCACAGCAATTTTGTGAGATAGCTAGTTACCCTCATTTCACACGTGCATAAGAGGGACACGGAAGTTAAATAGTCTTGTGCAAGGATGCTCAGCCAGCAGGTGACAGAGTTGTGAAGATCAGGTGTAGCACATTTACATGTATAACAGAACAGTGCTCGACTGTGTAAATGCTCAGTTAATACTAGCTGTTACAGTGCACTCCCAAACAAATCTTTCTGGTATTTTTTTCCTTAGAAGTTGTCAGTTTGATTTCAAAGTAGAGCAGTGAGTGGAGACTATGAAACAGCAAGTGTTTAACAGCCAGTAGAACAATAGAAATGTTACAGGCGTAGCGATGGACAAAGCCTGACAGCTGCAAGACAGTTTCAAAGCAGACCAGCGTAGGTACGTTTGATAAGCTTACAGGAGCAGAGGCGTTTGAGGGGCTTGTGGGAATGCGCCTTCTTGCTCCTGGATCTGACCCTCGACTGGCTGCTCTCATGATTCACTGGCAGAGTTGAGTAGTTGCAACAGAGGCCACATGGCCTGCAAACCGCAAAATATTTACTGTCTGGCCCTTATAGAAGAAGTTTGCTGAACCCTGAAATAGATCAATGAAATGGAATAGAATCCAGAAATAGACCCCACAAATACATGGTGAGTTGATTTTCAACAACAGTGCCAAGGCAGTTACATGGGAAAGGAAAGTCTTCTCAACCAGCGGTTGGATATCTGTATGCGAGGAAGTTAACCTTGACTCCTCTCCAACACCATATACAAAAACTAATACAAAATAGATGGTAGGGAGAATTCCCTGGAGGTCCAGTGGTTAGGACTCCGTGCTTTCACTGCCCAGGGCCCGGGTTCAGTCCCTTGGTCAGGGAACTAAGATCCCATGTAAGCTACATATCACGGCCAAAAAACAACAAAATCTATGATAGGTCTAAAACCATAAGCATTTACACAAGCTTCCAGAAGAAAACAAAAATACCTAATCAGCTTTGGAATGGGCAAAGAATTCTTAGGACACAAAGCGCGAATCATAAGGGAAAAGACGTGGGGCTTCCATCAAAATGACATTTTTCTGTCCTTCAAAATGAGCAGGTGGGCTTCCCTGGTGGCACAGTGGTTGAGAGTCCGCCTGCCAATGCAGGGGACACAGGTTCGTGCCCTGGTCCGGGAAGATCCCACATGCTGCAGAGCGGCTGGGCCCGTGAGCCATGGCCACTGAGCCTGTGCGTCCGGAGCCTGTGCTCCGCAACGGGGGAGGCCACAGCAGTGAGAGGCCCGCGTACCGCCAAAAAAAAAAAAAAAAAAAATATGAGCAGGTAGACCATGGACTGCCAGGAAAAAAGTAATCTCTGTGTGTCCTGACAAAGGACTCACATCCAGAAAATAGAAAAATGCAAATCAAAAATGAGATGAAAAACCCAATTTAATAAATGGGCAAGAGACTTGAACAGATCATCACAAAGATACACAAGTGACCGATAAGAACATGAGAAGTTGTTTAAAGGCATTAGTCACTAGGGAATGCAAATTAAAATCGCAAAAAGCTACCATTTCCCATCCAGTAGAACGGCCAAAGTTAAGAAGACCAAGAGTACCAGATATTGATGAAACTGTGGAGCTAGTAGAACTCAATGTATGTCCACAAGACATACAAGATGTTTGTTGTCAATTTGTTCATAATAATGAAAGATCAAAAACATGTCCAACAGCAGGAAAATGGGTAAGCAAATTGTAGTATTTAGTAGAATATCTCTCAGCAATAAGTAGGGATGAACTATTATAAATGCAGCATGTTGTATGAACCTCAAAAACACATTTAGCAAGACACATGGAGTATGTACTGTATGTCTTTATATGAAGCTTAAAACTGGCAAGACTGATGGACAGTGCTGAAAATCAGGACATTGTTTGGTCCTGAAGGAGAAGGCGGGGTGGAGGGATTGTTAATAAAGGAATATGGAAATCTATGTCTTGCTTGTGATCGTGGTTACACGAGTGTAGACATTTGTCAAAACTCACTGAACTCTACACTTAAAACCTATGCGTTTTATTATATGTAATTTATACCTTTTTTTTTCCTTAAGATAAGGGAAAGGAGAAAAATAAACACTGTTGAGGAGAACTCATTCCCCATGTCACATAAGCCATCATGGAATTGCCATTCCTCTCCAGCAGAAGAGGGATTTGGGAACATGATCTTGGGGCATGCTTGGGTTAGTGTTTTCTGGAATCCAGTGTGGCTTTGCCTGCCCATGGAGAAGGTGCCTTCTGGGTTGCCCTTTTCCTACAGGCAGCTTTTGTCCTTGTGTGGGGAGAGGCCTGTGTTTGTTGAGTGCTTCCTGTGAGCAGGTGGGTGCATTTAACTTAGGGGCTAAGTATTAGGGAGCATCCAAGCCATGTCCTTCAAGACACGCTCATTAATAAAATGAGTATTTTGAATCCATTTGCTGTGGTTTATTTCCCAGAGGGATGCTTTGGAGGGTTAAAGGCCGGTGGGGGAGGGGGCAATATTTACTGTCTCCTCTAAGGCTCTCACCAAGCTCTTGTTACATTAAGATAATAAAGGGGCAGCATTGAGGGAGTGGCATGAAAGTGGGCCCAGCACCTTCTTAGGGGCCCAGCTACTGAACCTGGCTTAATGGCTAAGTCTAATAGGAGAAAAGGATGAAGCACTGAGCAACGTGAGGGGCAGTTGCGGGTCTCAGGTTTCCCTGTGGAATCCTAATGCTAGAGTTAACACTCTTGGCCTCTCTTTCCCTCATCTCTCAGTCTCAGGGGAGGTCACAGTGATTTATCTGGTTAATTCGGAGAGGATCTACACTTTGTTTCAAGAGCCTCATGTACTCGTCCTTGCATTTGCTGGCCTACAGAGGAGTGTGCTGTGGTCTGTTGTCTGTGTGTAAGCTGTCCAGCTCTGCTAGTGGTTAGGTATGCAGCTGTCTGAGTCAGGAGTGAGGGGGTTACCAGGCCCATTTTGTCACACATCTCTGGTTAGACTTTCTCACTTGGTTTTCTCCCTGTGTCTCCCAAGTGCTCATTTTCACTTATTTCTGAGCTTTGGGGTAGAGAGTTTCCCCTAATCCACCCCCACCCCCAAACCAAGAAAAGAAAGGATGTAAGTTGCTACACTACATCTAGATTCTCTTTAAAAGGCATGGTCAGACTGGGGTTGAAAATAAAACCCAGCAATATGTTGTTTATATGAAAGTCATAAAAATGACAAAGGCTGAAAATGAATAGAAAAAGTGGAAAATGCAGACAAAAAGAAAACATGACAGTATGAGGCAAAGCAAAATTTAGAGTTAAAAGCACTGTTTAAGGACTGTGCATCAAACTAAATTGTAGCAGCCAATCGTAATTACTAGAAATGCAAGGAATGGGACTTCCGTTTCCAGATATGAGTGGTTTTATCAGATTAAACATCCTGCCAACAACAAGTTTTAAAAAGCTAGCTCTTTGGGACTTCCTGGTGGTCCAGTGGTTAAGACTCTGTGCTTCCACTGCGGGGGGGCACGGGTTCGATCACTGGTTGGGGAGCTAAGATCCTGCATGCCGCACGGCCCAGCCAAAATAAATGAAT